TTTAGATTTATTTAGTATATTTTAAGAAAAATATGCTAAAATTAAGAAGAGAAAAGGAAATAATTTATTCTAAAAGGGAAAAAAATGGATAAAAATTTACAAAAAATTACATGAACGGGGTCCAATTTGTACAAAGAGTTTATAAATAAATTTTCAATTTTGATGTGTTGCTTTGCTATTCACTTTTGAAATGACCTTTAGGATAAAAGATATTTTAATTTTTACAAAAACTTGAGCACTTTTGTCTTAGTTATTATATAAAATTCCTCATAAAATCAGTGATTATATTCACATAAGGAATTGTAAATTTTGTAATAAAATACTGATTGATAAATCTGAAGGTTAAAACACTTCTAACATGTAGAATATCACATCTTGCTTAAAGTAGGGGCATTTGCTTTTATTAAAACACTAGTAGTTTTTGTTCTAGTGAATGGAAAATAATAAACTTGGTATTTTTAGTAAGGCTGTCTTCGGTAAAAGTCCAAGAGCTTGAACTAAACGCGAAGCACATTTTCAGACAGAAAAAATGCCTCAATTTCTATGGAAATTTGCATTATTATAACTCATACCCCTGTTAACAATATAGTGTTTTTAAAAATGCCAAAATATTAGATGAATACTTTCTTTTTTGTTATAATACGTGAAGGCATAGCTCATTTAACATTACGGTGTAGGAGAAAAAGCGCGAAACATATTTAATACCAGAAAAAATGAATAAACTCGGTTAAAAACGGGAAGTAATAAATAAAAAAAAATCTGCTCTCTAAAGGATAGTGAAGCCAGAATATCATTTTAATGTTTCATTTCTTTTATATCTGAAAAATTTTTCCAAATTCTCTCTCTCTCTCTCTCTGGTCCTATTCTTTAACATTAACCGAAGACTGCCTTAAGGTATCCGATTACGTTCGGAACCGCGATTTTAAAAAAGCGCATAAATGTATAATTTTCATGATATTTGGTGTCACTTAGATTAGACTACATGTATAAAATTGTTTTAAGGATATTTTGATAAAAAATTAACTTAGAATAATCTTTTTTCAAAATGTTCTCCTTTTGTGAAAAATGCTTCTATTATAATAATATTTTGCCTGTATATAGCTCAGACCTCTTTACAGAGGCTCAACTAGAATTTTTGAAAAATTCACATTATTTTCAGAGTTACAACCCATTGAAATAATTATCGGCGTTTTACTCTTAAAATTGCTCCCCTCTGTTGTAAAACATGGATAAACCTACTTCTAAGTTATATATTTCAAAAATTCTAGTTGAGCCTCTGTAAAGAGGTCTGAGCTATATACAGGCAAAATATTATTATAATAGAAGCATTTTTCACAAAAGGAGAATATTTTGAAAATTGGTAATTTTTTTATTCATTTTTTGTCAAAATATTTAGTACTTAAATAATTTTTTATTGTAATGCTATTCTTAAAACAATTTTATACATGTATTCTAATCTAAGTGACACTAAATATCCTGAAAATTATCCATTTATGCGCCTTTTTAAAATCACGGTTCTGAACGTAGTCGGATACCTTAAGCCAATATGGGCCATAAAATAAAATCATAACAAATATGTCAATTTTTTTGAAAAATTCGCAATTTTAGGGCAGTTGGATATATTCATTGGATCTCTACAACTTTTTATGCATCAGAAAATATTCCATCCAGAAAAATTCCGTTCTCAATTCTGTGTGTGAAAACTACGTATCCAAGACAATTTAGGGAACACACAATAACTAAACATTTTCTCTTCAATAAACCTATCAATCACAATCTTTACAGGCGGCTTCAACCTTCAATGCTTCCCTCACCATTCCCATGGATGATAATCCCCAGATTCCAGTAAATATCGTACGTTTCGATGCACCCCGATTCGCCCACTTTCTCAACAAGTAGCACAGTCCATCTGCCATCATTAAATTAAACGGTTGAAACAATGTTTCCGAGCATGGTGCATTTTTTCATCTCTCAAACCGCTTTAAATCATGCCTTCCCACTTCATTAACAACCGACCTGCTTGCTGTAGCACGTGGTGGTTGTAAATCACTCAAAACAAGAGAGTGTATCATGCATTGCTAAATGTTAAAAGTTCTCTTTTTTTTTAATGCGTATGATAGAGTGAAAAAAATAAAAGACGGTAGATGAGGGAATGTGTTAAAGGTGATAAAAATTCTGTACGAACACAAAAATGTTGCGAATTTTCACAGTCGAGTTAATAGAAATTAATTCAGCACTGCGCATTCATATATTTTTAGAAGGTTGAACTCTCTTCGATCTGATAACTCATACTTTTTTTTTAAAAAAATGAGTCCGTTCAGAAAGAAAGGTCCAAGAAGTTGACATGCACATTAAATTAGAAAAGTTGTGTTACTTTTATTTTATGTTTCATTTGCCGATTGTGCTTCTTTTTTTTTATTATTGTCTTCCACAACTCAGACTCGGGGAAATTCTTTATATCAAGGTGATTATACACCAAATTCTGAATTGGTAATCGTTTTTCAGCAAATTCAAACTTTGTAAAGAATTTAAAATATGTTCAAGGTAGAATTTTTTAATGAATTCTGTATACAGTCGGACCTCCATATAACGAAGTCACTAAATCCCGGGAAAAAGCTCGTTATAAGGAAAATTCGTTATACAGAGGTTCATCTCTCTCTTTTAATATAATTTATAAACTACATAAAACAAATTTTAAATTCATAAAC